ACGTGTGAGCATTAGTTAATGTTTTGCTTGCCTTACCCTATCTCTTCCAATAATTTACACTTGATTTCGAAGAATCTTTTCTTTCTTCTCTTAATTAAATTATATATATATTTTTTTAATTTTGCAAGTTCATTTCATTTTTTTTTTTCTCGCGTCCTTTCTCTCCTCTTTCCATCAGAACTATTCTGATCTTAAAAATGTTGAAATTTGCCAGCAATATTGATGACCGGCGTGTGGCAGCAATTCGGGCGATCAACAGAGGCAACCGATCTGTCACGGTGCGGATGTTTCCATAGGGATAAATATTTTAAGTGGTTGAATTGAAAAGTTTAGAGCTGAGGCATTGAGGATGTTATGCATGTGAATTCCTATAGAAATTTTTAAGTAAGGGAACTATTTTAATATGATTGCTTATCATTTTAAAATCATAAAATAAACTCAATATCTGATTATCCACGCCATTTTAAGTTTACAAAACCCCACAAAAATCAATCATTAACCATCCATCCTCCCAAAAAACACCAAAAAAAAAATTAAGAGAAAATACTTTCTCCAAGAGATCATGGAGATCGAACAACAACACCCACCTCAAGTCCACTCCACCACCACTAACCCCACCACAACTACCGCCACCACCACTATCCCCTCCACCACCTCCGCCGCCGCCGCCCCTGAACCAACCAAATCCGTAAAACCCAAACACCTCCTCATCCTCCTCTTCAACATCCTCGTCCTCCTCATAGGAGGCAGCGGCAGCCCCCTCATCATCCGCGTCTACTTCCTCCACGGCGGAAACCGCAAATGGTTCACCTCTTTCCTCCAAACCGCCGGCTTCCCTTTCCTCCTCCTCCCCCTCCTCTTCTCCTTCCTCCGCTCGCCCCGCCGCCACTTCTTCCTCATCTCCCCTTTCCTCCTCCTATGTTCCGCCTTCATCGGCCTCTTAACCGGAATCGACAACTTGTTCTACTCCTACGGTATATCTTACCTCCCCGTCTCCACTTCCTCTCTACTCATCTCCACCCAACTCGCCTTCACCGCCGTCTTCGCCTACTTCATCGTTAAGCAAAAGTTCGGGGCTTCATCAATAAATGCGGTGGCATTGCTGACAGTTAGTGCGGTGGTGCTCGGCGTGCACGCTAATGGCGATCGACCGGAAGGGGAATCGAATTCCAAGTACTATATGGGGTTTGCTATGACGCTCGCCGCGGCGGTTCTGTATGGGCTGGTCTTGCCATTGGTAGAGCTCATGTACATTAAGTCTAAGATGAAGATCGGTTATACTTTGGTGATGGAGATACAGCTTGTGATTGGGCTCGTCGCCACCGCTTTCTGCACCGTCGCACCGCTTTCTGTACCGTCGGGATGGCGATCAACAAGGATTTTCAGGTGATCTCTCCTTGCCCTTTAGTCCAGTTTACATGCCCACCTCCATAATTTTAAACAGAAATTGATCAATTTACTTAGATAGTATTTTGTTTTAATCCTAAAATCATCTTATTTTCGAATATGATACTTTAATTATTGGCACATTCACATAGATAACACCCAATTCTTATACATTTACATTTCTAACAACTAAATTTTATATGAAGCCAAAAAAATATCCATTTTAACTTTAAAAAAAGTAAAATACAATTCATGTACATGAACTGACATGTAATTAAAAATTAAAGTTAGGGTGTTCAATATGTAAATATATTGAAATTAAGTGGCATGCATGTGAAGCTTCCTTCATTTTTTTTAAGGCTGGTATGAATTGATCATATGCAAATTTAGAATATAGATGTGAAGGTATAATTACGTAATAAGCCAAAGCTACATATTTTCCACATTTCTACGACACAAATTGTATTTTGACCAGAGATACTGATAATCATCTGCGCGTTGGCTGTCGGCCACTACGTTGAACTTGCTAAACTAAAATTCACATAAATTGGTCCGCCTCTAATATACAAATAAAAATATTTCGAGATTTAATAAATATAAAGTTATAAAAATAAATAATTATGACAAAATGGATAATTTAGTATTATGATGCATAAATAATATTAATGCAAAGTGTGTTTAAAGTTACCAAGGTATAAAATTTTAAAATTATTAAATATTATATTGGTCAGAATGTTAAGAAGAAAAATAGAAGAAAGCATGAATGCGTCGTAAAAATCATAAAATATAAAAAAATTATTGCCGTGCATCTATTAAGGGTGTAAGCGTGTCGAACGCGAGCGAGCCCGGGCTCAGCTTCTGTTTGACTCGTGTTATTAAAAATACTACTCATCAAATACGATATATATATATAATTATTTCAAGCCAAAAGGTGTTGAACAAGAACGAACAATTCTTTGTTGGTGTTCGTCTCAATTATATATCATGCGAAAAAAAATTATTTGTGTTTGACTCGTATGCTTAGAGAATGAATTAAGCTCGAGTTTTTTTAACGAGCCGAACACGAACTGATTGCAAGCAACGAATCGCTTTCACAGTCTTAGCTTCCATACGTTTTAGCTGTATGTATCATTTTTGTTTTCTTGAGTAATAAATAATAATTTTTCCTCAAAAGTTTCTAAAATATTCCCTTAAAATTAAAAATTTCATAATATTTGTAGACCTTGACCTCTTTATATTATTTTCTATACCTTAAAAACTTTTTTGGAAGATTTACATAGATACCACTTAATTCCTTTCTATTTACATATATATCTAAACCGTACACAGCAAATTTTACATAAATATGCCATCTTATATCTAAAGATGTTTCACTTTTTACAAATTAAACTAGTGGTACATTTTAACAAAAAATAAAATTTAGATGATTTATATGTAAATACATACGTATTGGATGGCATTATTGCAATTCTTTCGATTACGGTTCTTAATTTTTCCTTCTGTTATCATAAATTTAGCAGGCTTATGAGCTGTATAAAGCTCATTAATTAGATGGCACTTGCTTAATTAATTAGCAGGCACATGCCTGATTAATAAGTCAAATTGACTATTTTGATACTAGTACCAATTACTAACATGTGTGGGGCCTGAAGTTCTGTTAAGACTACTCCCTTCAAAATTTTCGTGGGCCATTTACATACATGCCACTCAATTATTTTGTATTTACATATTTAGAATCTAATTTTTTTTATTACATTTATACAACATGAATCATTCATATCACGTCGAAAATACTAATGTGGTGTGTATGTGTGTAAATTGAAGTTCAGGTGTTACGTTAGACATGTAAATGCAAGGGAATTGAGTGTTCAGTATGAAAATCTTCTAGTTTTCATTGTAGACATACCACCCAATTTCTATGTATTTACATATCTAACACCTAATTTTATAATTTACATTTATACCACCCAAATTATTCATATCACATAAAAAAAAATCACAATTTTATCTCTTAGAAACTGAAATATACATTTTCTTGCATAGATAAGGTGGTAAGCATGTAATAATTGAAATTTTTGTTTTAAATATTTAATTACATTGGACATAAGTGTTATGCATGTAAATTTTTCTTAACTAAGTAAGATTAGCATTTTTAAGTTATATAACCTAGATCTGACTAAATTATTATTTTAAAATTAAGATTATCTCATTAGCTACTTCATAGTTTAGGACCAAATTGCCCCCTTAAATATAAATATAGCTTGATTCTATACATTCAAGAGGAGATACAAGAGAGTACATTGATAGATAGGATTTAGAAATTTGAAAATCCCACAGCTCTAAGAGTCATCACTTGGCCAATCAAGTCAACAATAAAAAAATAACATTCGTTATTGCCTAATATTATCTCTTATTGTTAGTCAATGCCGACTTTGTTGACACCAACTATTGACTACGGTTTGACATTGATCAATTAGTAACGTTCAAAGCTAGCTTTCTTCATTGCGGGTTTCCATTCTTAGAACAAAATTGATCAATCAGATCATTGATTGTCATTTGATGCCCAATGTCCCTAGTCAAACAATCATTATATATCATCCATCAATATTCAACATATGTTAACCACTTATGTTATTTAACTTCCGTGCTCTCTTATTGCGTAAGCGACAAATAAATTTTTTATAATAGTTTGACATTTGATATTATTAATTAGTTGTTACATAATGCTTATATAGATCACCTTTTTAGAAAACAATATTCAAGTATACCACCAATTGTCACCTAATACACAACATTACAATTAATAGTCATCCAACTCCTATCAATATTTGGCATCCATTAATCACTGACATTTGATTTGCATCTTCTTAGCCATCAATCTCTCCACTTATAAAAAGAAAATTTTGATACAATAACCATTAACCAACATCTAACATCCATGATCAATAATCATATTACATTTATCAACTACGTACCAATGTTTGATGTCACCCTTATTGATTTTAGTTTTTATTTTTACCGAGAAAGTGATTAATGATGTCACTGTCATCACTAATATCTAACATTCCCATTAGACTGTTCTTCGATTATGTTAATTAATGGCATCAATTATGTCAGTTGTTTGTCAAGATTAAAAAAAAAATGGCATATATACCTTTTTCCTTAATTCAAACTATTGTGTCAAGTGTTTTTGTCATTTATAATAATTGTAAGGGAAGGTGACTTATCTTACATAATCAACTGAAGCTATAAGTCAAAATATTTATAAGCAAGGAAAAGAAGCTGAAGTCATGCATGATTAGACTTTGCACCCACCCCACAATGCACCCAATGTCTACAATTTTTGTATATATATTAAAAATTGGGTTTATTTTCTTGCAAAGAAAGGATTCTTACGCATTCAATTATGTAAATACAATATATTATATAGTGGTATTGGTATATAAGTTTTCCAGAATTAATGAAACAACTAGAAAAATTCCTCATATTATCAACTTGGGCATGTACATATAAAACCCAAATCCTATTTATTTACATATCTAACACCTAAAAATTAATTTTTACATTTATACCACCTAAATATTTCATATCATATAAAAATAGCATCATTTTAGCTTTTAAAAAAATGGAATACATCTTTTTCATATAGGTATGGTGGTACATATTAATATAAAGTTAAAAAGTTTAGGTGTTAAATATGTAAATACATAAAAAGTGAGTGGTATCTATGTAACTCTTCCTATAAACTTCCTGTATATTCATCATGACTTTGTAGTCAAAGATTACGACTCACATATTACATATCAAATGCACTTTAAAAGAATCTCATTTATAACATACCTGCCAATTTGAATAAGCTCTATACGTTATTTAATTATACATCAGCAGGGCAAAAATTCTAAATTAAAAAAAAAATTATCTCATTATATAAAATGCAATTTATAATAAAAATTTGTCTCTTTAGATAATTTTAAAAATATTTGACACATTAAATCCCTCCTAACTTATACGACTTTAGACTAAAGTATACAAACATATCAAATTTACATACAAACCTCATAATTTTTATATATTTACATGTTTAACAGATAAACTTCTATATTAACACTTATAAATCATTTGGTGTCATAACATAAATATGAAACTTGTGTAGTATGTTTGTAAATGTCATTTTTTTATTATAACACGTTTGCTACGTCTTAGCATGTTCTATAAAAATCGTGAGAAAATATTACATCGAAGTCTAATGGTGGGGTGTCATGTGTCAAGTGAGTCTTACCGTAATAAACTGATATTGGTCAGTGTTGAAAATGATGAAACCCTCTTGATATGTGGCGCCGTACCATTGGATTCTGAATGCATTATGAATTTTGATGTAATATTTTTTCTAAAAGTCGTTGAGTTGGAGGACACTAAACTCTGTCAGAACTGAGTCTTTATTCTTTTTACAAATTTACCTTTTTGAAGACATTTCCATTGTTTTATCACCAAAATCTTAAAATTCTCAAAATTATTAAATTACATTTTTTAACAATTTATCGAATGTACAATACATTTACAGGCCCTCTCGAGAGAGTGCCCCAATTATGGGCTCGGCCAAACCAAGTACTATTTAGTCGTCCAGAAAGCCACAACTATGGGCTCGGCCAAACCAAGTACTATTTAGTCGTCGTCTTCATCGCCGTCTTGTCACAGTGCTTCTTCTTAGGGTTGGTTGGCACCATAAACTACTCATCGGCGTTGCTCGGCGGCGTTATGCTCGCCATCTGCATCCCCATTACGGAGGTGCTCGCCGTCTTCTTCTTCGACGAGAAGTTCGACGGCGACAAAGGCGTCGCCGTTGCTCTCTGCCTGTGGGGCACGGCTTCCTACCTCTACGGCGAGTACAAATCTTACCGACGGAGCAAAGGCGCGGCCAGGGAATCTAAGCTTCCAGTCTCTGTCTCAGACTCCGCAATGAATTAGAGGGCATTTGAGTAATTGAGTTAAGTGCGATCGGTTTGGACGCTGATGGGTTTTATCCGAAATTGTCAAATGAAATGAGAGTTTTCTTTTGGTCAATTGTTTTTACTGGTGGTACTCTGGTGAATTTTTTCTTCCATGCGTGGTACACTGTTCCTGTGTATTTACATATCTAACCCTATTAAACTTCCATATTTACGTACATTGGTACGGTTATTAAATCTACGTATGAAAAAAAAGGGTGTACTTGATTTTTAAAAAGTAATAATAGTGATAATCGGTCATCAATTAACTTTTTTTGGCTTGGATTTCGAACTATTTTTTAGCGAGAAATATTTTGATCTAAATAAAAAAGTATCTAAAATCTTGATTTCAACAATCTTATAGTTAAACCGAACTTCTTGATGTGACAGACGCAATGATATCAAAATTGATTTAATTTGAATCAAATCAAGCCTGAATCAAGTCGTTAAACTATTTTTGGAGGCTTTAGTAGTTAATTGGATGGTTAAATGAAATTTAAATTTGAAGTAACTATTTGAAAATCGAGTGTTTTGATGAGAGAAATCTAACGAGCTTATGATAATCTGATTCTAAAGTCATTAAAAACATGGGCTATTCATGTAGGAAAAACACTGAAACTTAGGCAGCATACCACTTGTTTTAATTTATGTTGGATAATTCTTCAGACTTCCTTAATGATATAATGAGAACTTTTTCGAAGAATAAGTACTTGTCATTTTTGAATATAACAATCATTTGTATACTAGCATAGTGAGCTAAATTGTTAGTGGTTATATACCTTTTGATATATCATACAACCAAAAGAAGAAACTCATTTTTGATGTCGGATTTTAATTTTTGGACGAACTCTACATGTTTAAAAAGTGTAATGATCAAATTATAAGGAGGTGTGTCCTCCTATAAGAGGTAGATGAGATTATTAAAGTCTGCAATGATTCTGAATTAAGATGGACATTTTGGAGGATTTAAAACAGCCTTTAAGATTTTAGAATTTGAATTTTACCAACCTATCTTATTTGAGTTTATTAATATTTATATTAAGAAATGTGATAGGAGTTAGTGTGGAGGTAATATTTGAAGAAATGATGAGATGCCCTCAAACTTTATTTTAAAAGTAGAAATTTTTTTTTATGTTTGGAGAATATATTTCATGGAACCTTCTATGTCTTAGCTAATAATTTAATAATGCTAGCCGTAGACTGTATCTCTAGATAGATTATAACAATTAATTTACCCAAATGTTATTAATAAAGTGTTCAAGGATTTTTAAGAAAAAAATGTTTTTGTCTTAAGTTTGGATCAATCAGAGCTTATAATCACTGATGAGGGAATTCATTTCTATAATAAAAGAATTGTGACAGTAGTTGCTAAATATGAAATAAATTATAAGATTTGTATTCCTTATCTATCGGATTAGCAGAAGTGTCTGATAGGGAAATCTAGAGAATTTTAGAAAAACCTATTAATTTGAGCATAAAGGATTAGTCCCTCAGGCTACATGATGTTTTATGAGTCTATAGAAAAGCTTACAAGAGACATCCAAAGGAATGTCCTTTTATGTGCTAATTTTTGAAAAAGTCTGTCACTTGTAAGTTGAGTTATAACATAGAGCCTACTGGACAGTTGAGTAATTTAATTTTAATATTGAAGGTTCACATGTGACACTAACTAACATCGACTAACATAATTTAATTATAATTTATTTGATAAGATTTTGATTGTCCAAGTGAAAATTCTCAAATATTATCCAACGGCCCATGTTAATTCTTTTTTTGTCATAACCTATTCTTCAGACATTTAAGCATCTTAATGACATTGGAATTGAATGATTCTGAGTCTTGAATTTTTTTCTTTTATATGGCTGTTTTAGCAATAAACTCGTATGATTTGGAGATTGTATGACCTTTCAAATGATATTATGATGTTTACAACCTTATCATTCATGCTTATTCTTCTATCATTTAAACTCTAACCAATGCATTTTATTGTCGATGATATTCTATTCAAATAATTTTCTTTTTTAAATAGAATTCTAATGAGCTCAAATTTAATTCGAACATTTTTTTATTTAAATATCACATCAAGATTTACGCCTAACCAAACTTGTTCCAATCAAATTATGATGACATATCAAACTTGGTCCAGTCAAATTAATTCGAACAATGTACCCTCAAGTCAAGTTAATTAATTCTAAGCCACTTAGGAAGTTGAGTGATAATGAAGCAATTTTCAAAATTTATTTATAAATATGAGCTTTCATCTGCATCACACGCTTTTACTTGTGTAAATATCTATCTAATTATTAATCCTTTTTATTGCACGCCTTTTGCATGCGATGCCGACCAGCCACTAAACCCCCGAGCAGTTGTTTTGCACCGAGCAATCAGAGCAGTTGGACTAAGAAAAACATCACATAAGCAATTAAAGAAAGGTACGAAATGCAGAGATGATATATATCTATATCTATATATATATATATCTATATATATATCTATATATATATATCATATATACATACATATTTTGCTGCGTCGCAATTTGCACACCACTAAAAACTCTGTATTTATTATAAACCCAAAAAGCGAATAATAAAAGTTTGGGGGTTTTGCATACATACCATCCAAACTTCAAATATAACATCCTCAATATTTAAGTTTTAAAATTTACAATTCAACCACCAAAAATTCCGTCAGCCATCCCGTGACAGATCGGTCCGCCCGTAGCTGTGATCTGCCTGTCCTTCTGCATTTTCTTTCCAACCCCTTTTTTTATGAAAGAGCATGCTCGTATTACAGCAAAAAGGTTGAGATTTAGGGTCCGTTTGGGGCGGTGTGTGCATTTCAGGATAAGCAAAAGCTATGCTTGTCTTGAAACGCGCGGCCTGCGTTTAGTGTAAAAACCCAAACGCAGTTTCGGATAAGCTGATGAAACGCGCGAACCAAACGGTTCGGCGGCGTTTTGAAAACGCAGCACCCATTTATAAGCTGCCCCAAACGGACTCTTATATTATTTTCTTTTGACTTGAAAAAATAAATGTATTGCACGAGCGAGCATTAGTGAGTGCTTTGCTCGCCTTTTACCCCTCTTGCAATTTTCTTCACTTCACTTGATTCCGAAGGATTTTTTCTTTTTCTATGTAAATTTCTAGTTTTCTATTTTGCTTGTTCCTTCTCATATTTTTTTTCTCGCGTCCCTTCTCTCATGTTTCCATCATAACGGCTCCGAATATGAAAATTTTATCGTTCCACATATCAACGAAGACGACCAATCTTTTCAGGTTGGCTGTTTTGTAAATTTTAAAATTGAAGTAGTGAGGATGCTATTTTCGAAATTTTGAGTGTTATGTATGTAAATTCGTCAAAAGGTTTAAAGTGAGAATACTCTAATTAAAATATGATTATTTTATGATTTTAAAGTCATAAGAAAAAAAATAAATATGTGAATATCCATGCCACTCTCAAGCTTACAAAACCCCCAAAAATGAAGCATGAAAATATTCCATCCAAGAGATCATGGAGATCGAACAGCACCACGCACCTCCAGTCCACTCCGCCGCCGCCACAACCTCCGACGAACCGACCAAATCCATAAAACCCAAACGCCTCCTCATCCTCCTCTTCAACGTCCTCCTCCTCCTCATCGGCGGCAGCGGCAGCCCCCTCATCATTCGCGCCTACTTCCTCCACGGCGGAACCCGCAAATGGTTCACCTCTTTCCTCCAAACCGCCGGCTTCCCTTTCCTCCTCCTCCCCCTTCTCATCTCCTTCCTCCGCTCTCCCCGCCCCCGCTTCTTCCTCATCTCCCCTTTCCTCCTCCTATGTTCCGCCTTCATCGGCCTCTTAACCGGAATCGACAACTTATTCTACTCCTACGGCATATCTTACCTCCCCGTCTCCACTTCCACTCTCCTCGTCTCCACCCAACTCGCCTTCACCGCCGTCTTCGCCTTCTTCATCGTTAAGCAAAAGTTCAGGGCTTCGTCAATAAACGCCGTGGCTTTACTGACGTTTAGTGCGGTGGTGCTCGGCGTGCACTCCAATGGCGATCGACCGGAAGGAGAATCGAATTCCAAGTACTATCTTGGGTTTGTTATGACGCTCGCCGCGGCGGTGTTGTATGGGCTGGTGATGCCATTGGTGGAGCTCATGTACGTTAAGTCTAAGACGAATATCGGTTATACGATGGTGATGGAGATACAGCTTGTGATTGGGCTCGTCGCAACCACTTTCTCCGCCGTCGGGATGATGATCAACAAGGATTTTCAGGTAATCTCTCCCTACTCTTTGGTCCAGTTTATTTAAACTGTATTTTATTTTAATTCTAAAACCATCTTACTTTCAAGTTTGATACATCAATTTTTGTCGGCCACTTGGTGGAACTGGCTAAACTAAATTCTACAAATATACATATAAAAATATTTATAGATTTAAATACTTGAAGATTAAAGTTAAATTACATATTAAGGTATAAAATTTTAGAATTTCTAAAGAGTATATATATATATATCAAATTAATTCTAGGAAGAAAAATAAAAGAAGGCACAAAAATTCATAAAAATCACAAAATATATAAGCTATTGCCGTGTTTTCAAGTTTAGTCCTAGCTTTATAGCTGTATGAATATCAATTTTTTTTTCTTGAGTAATAGCTCAATGGCCTCTAAAATATTCCCTTAAGATTAAAAATTTCATATGTTTCGAGACCTTGGCCTCTTTATATCATTTTCGTCCCTTAAAAATTTTTAGGGAGATTTACATACATACCATTTAATTTCTATTTATTTGCACACACATAAAAATTTTTAGGGAGATTTACATACATACCATTTAATTTCTATTTATTTGCACACACACGTGTGTGTGTGTGTCTGTGTCTAACTAAAAGCCCTAAACATCTATTTTTACATAAAAATGCCATCTTCTATTCATATATGAAAAGATGTCTTACTTTTAAAAGTAAAAAATGGTGATATATTTTATTTGATGTAAAAATTTTTGGTGGTATAAGTATAAAAAGAAAGTTTCGGTGTAAGATATGTAAATACATAAGAATTGGGTGGTATTATTACACTTCTTTCAATCCCCGATCTAAATTTTTTCTTCTTTTATAAGAAGTTTAGCCAGTTTATTAGCCGTCTAAAGATCATTAATTAGTGGGTAATTGCTTAATTAATCAGTCGGCACATGCTTAATTAATCAGTCGGCACATGCTTAATTAATTAGTCAACCTATGATTCAATCGTTGATTATTTTGATACTAGTACCAACATGTGCGGGGCCTGTTAGAGTGCTCGCTTAAAATTTCCGTGGGGCCATTTAGGTATGCACATGCCATTCAATTACTATGTATGTTCTTATTTAACACCTAAATTTTACTTTTTTACAATTTTTACAATCACAATCTTTCATATCACTTCAAAAGCAACAATTTTCTTACCTTTAAAACTGGAAATACAACTTTTTATGCAAATAGATTGTGGTATATATATATATATATATATATATATATAAGTTCAGATTTGTAAATACATAAGAATCGACTGCTAAGTGTAAATCCTTCAGTTTTTCAATATAAAAATACCGCCCCAATTTTTATGTATTTACATATCTAGCAACCAATTTTAGATTTTAAATTTTACAATTTACATTCATACCATCCAAATTATTTATATCACATAACAAATATAATAAATTTAGCTCCTTAAAAACGAAATACATATTCTCATGCATAGAGAAGATTGTAGGCAAGTAATAATTGAAATTTAGGTATTAAATATGCAAGAACACAGGAATTAATAAAGGGCATGTATGTAAATTATTCTTTATTTTTTAAGTGAGATTAGCATTTTTAAGTTAGATAAGCTAGATCTGACCAAATTATCATTTAAAAATTAAGATTATATCTTGGGCTACTTGATAGTTTAGGACCAAATTGCCCCTTAAAGAGGAAAATTTTTATTATAAAATTTGTCTTGTTATGATGCAAAAAAAAATGAGTTGACCTGGTTGACCTGATTTTGTTGCTTGAACACATCAATTTTAGAATTCAATGTAGTGCATTAATCAATAAAGGCTTCATTTATAACATAGGAATTAAGTATTTTGATTTTAGAAGAATTTTGCTTGAGCAAGCAATAGTATTAACATATATTTTTCCATGGGTATCAACATAACCTTCTAAAAAAATGGTATTTTGATGAGATAGATCCAATAGTACTAAAAATATTATAAAGTAAGAAATATGCCTAAATAAATCATGTAGAAATCTAATTAACAAGACATTTGAAGTAAAAAAATTGAACATAATGACACAATATGTTGATGAACCTGAATTCACTCAATTTTAGTTCAATTGAGTGTTGATATGTTGAAAAAAAATATAAAATAATCAAATGGAATCCATTCCATTCATTCAAAGTGTCTTGGTTTTTTTGGGAAGTCGTCATAATATCTCTTAAAAAATTTATCAATATACCCTAATTCTATAAACATGCCACTGATTGTCACCTAATATATAGTATCACAATTAATTGTCATCCAACTCCCACCAACATTTGGCATCCATTAATCATTGACATGTGTATGCACCTTTTTAGCCATCAATATCTCCACTTATAAAAGGAAAAATAAATTGTGCCACTAAGCATCAAGCAACTTCTAACATCTTTAATCGGTAGTCCAATTGCATTTATCAACACCTAATATTTGATGTCACTCGTTGGTTATTAGCCTTTAATTTTATAAGAAAAGATATTAATGTGGTCATTGTCCACCACTGACATCTAATATTGCCAATCAATTGTTCTTCGTTTTTGTTAATTAATGACACAAATTATTTGTCATTTAACTTTTGTGAGATGATTCCATGAGGGAGCACTTGCCACGTAGCAGGTGGACCCCACTGTAATAGCTGGTTGGGTAAATTTTAAGAGGGTGGGGCCTACTTGCCACGTGGCACATGCCCACTGGGCTCCAGGCGCAAATTTTACGTCTGGCGTCCTGATGGAATAATTTTTCCATTAAGAGAATAGTTGCAACTTATTATCGCTTGATAACAACTCGAGTTGACGATGATTCCTAGTTTCATCATGGAAGCTACCTTCCAAAGTTCATAATTGTTCTACTAGATGAATCCCTTCTTCAATTAATCGGAAGGGTCCTTTTAGTGATATACAACTTATTCTAAAGGATTTATTTCAATCATTTCAAATACCATAGTTTCCTTTCTTCTCTACTTCAATCATATACCCTAAAAATTTACTTCATCACATAACATAATAATTGTTGATCAAAAGAAACTAAAATAGCATTTATTTTTTTATTTAATTCAAAATATTGTGTCAAAGTTTTTTTTTTTTTATTTATAAAAGTGCAAGGGAAGTTGACTTGTCTTACATAATCAACTGAAGTTGGGTTTATTTCTCGCAAATAAAGAATTTTTACGGATTCAGTGCAAGGGAAGTTGACTTGTCTTACATAATCAAATAAAGAATTTTTACGGATTCAATTCTTTATTTCTCGCAAATAAAGAATTTTTACGGATTCAATTATGTAAATGCAATATATAATAAGGTGATATTTGCATATTTGTCTTCTAGAATTAATATCTATAAAAATTCCACAAAGGACGACATATACCACCCAAATAAGCTACAAACTTGTAATTACATATCTAACACCTTAATTTGTAATTTTAAGATTTATATCACCTAAATATTTCATATCACATAAAAAATCTAACACCTTAATTTGTAATTTTTAGATTTATATCACGTAAATATTTCATATCACATAAAAATATTATCGTTTTAATTTAAAAAAAAACAAAATATATCTTTTTCATGTATAGGTAAGATGGTATATATGTATATAAAAGTTTAGGTGTTAATTATGTAATATTAAAATACATAGGAAGCGAGTGGTATATATGTAAATCTTCCTATAAATTCTGACATAATACTAGGCCTGTAGTCAAACATTATGACACGGATTACATATCAAATGTACTTTAAGAATCTCATTTATAATATACCTGCCAATCTGAATAAGCTGTCAACGTTATTTAATTGTACATCAGCAGGACCAAAATTCTACATTTTAATAAAAAATTATCTGATTATTTAAACTGCAATCTATATTAAAAATTAATCCCATTACATAATTTTTTAAAATATTTGGAACATCAAATCTTTCCAAACTTATATGACTTTTGACTAAAGTAAGCAAACATAGGAAACTTACATACATACCACAAAATTTTATGTATTTACATATTTAACATGTAAACTTTGTTGTTTACAATTATAAACTCTTAGGTGTCATATATATATATGAAATGGTGTACTTTTTCTTTAAAATTAAATAATTATAATATTTTTTATGTAATATTAAAAAAAATTTGAACTATACATATAAATATTGAAGTTTAAATATTAGATATGTAACAAAATATAAAACCTTTGTACTATGTATGTTAATATGAAAGTTTAAATATTAGATATGTAAAAAAATATAAAACTTTTGTGGTATATATGTAAATACATTTTTTTAATATAACAAAACTATCAATTTTCATTTTATCAATTTATTGAATATTCTACAATACGTTTACAGGAGCTCCCGAGAGAAAGCCACAACTATGGCCTCGGCCAAACCAAGTACTATGTAATCGTCGTCTTCACCACCATCTTGACACAGTGCTTCTTTTTAGGATTGGTCGGCACAATAAACTACTCATCGGCATTGCTCGGCGGCGTCTTGCTCGCCATCTGCACTCCCATCACCGAGGTGCTCGCCGTCTTCTTCTTCGACGAGAAGTTCGACGGCCTCAGTTTCAGACTGCCACGTTGAGTTAGAAGGAGTCTAAATAATCTCTGAATAATTGATGTTTCTGAACTTTGATGAGTTTTGCGCTAAGGTATCATTTGAGGTTCCATATGGAGCTCACGGTTCATTGTATTTTAAGAAGTGTTTTTGACAATTAGAATCTAATGATAGTGTTGATGCGGCATCGATTAATTTCATTTTTTGGAACGCATCTTAAAGCATTTTCTTCGCCAGAAAAACTCTGATTCAAATTAAAAAATTATTTAAAACCTTGATTTTAGCAATCTTACAGTCCAACTAAACTGCTTGATGGGGTGAACCTGATGATACTTAAATTGATTCAATTTGAGTCAAATTAAGCCTGGATCAATTCATTAAACGACCTAAAGTGAACATTTCGATGAGAGATATCTAATTCGCTTAAGATCACCTGATTCTAAGATCATTAAAACCATCATATTATAAAAAAAATTCTTATAACTAAGAGGAATCAACGAGGGCCAACCGAGTAGGAAAGATAATTCTTTTGACTTTCTTAATGATAAAACGAGAACTCTCCCAATGAACAAGTACTTGTCATTTCTGAACCGAACATTCTAAATTAAGCCTGGATCAATTTAGTAAACCACCTAAATTGAGCATTTCGATGAGAGATATCTAATTTGCTTAAGATCACCTGATTCTAAGATCATTAAAATCATCATATTATAAAAAAAATTCTTATAATTAAGAGGAATCAACGAGGGCCAACCAAGTAGGAAAGATAATCCTTTTGACTTTCTTAATGATAAAATGAGAACTCTCCCAATGAACAAGTACTTGTCATTTCTGAACCGAACATTCCTTGCTATACTAACATAGAGAATTACATTGTGAGCGATTATTTACCTTTTTGATATATCATACAACCAAAAGTAGGACTTTATTTAAACTTGTTTGGTGGGATTTAGCTTAAATCCTACATAAATCCTCTCTACGGATTGTTTGGTTGCAAGGACGATTTAGTTTGAATGGGATTGAGTAAATCATGTATATCCTTTTAAACCGAATTTATGAAATCTTGAAGGTGTTAAATCCTGAAAACAGTTTGATATATTAATAAATAAATCCTAATAAATCCATAAAAAAGTGTTTGGTGGCTTTATTAGAATTTACTAATACCGAATTTATGAAACCTTGAAGGTGTTAAATCCTGAAACTTGTTTGATGTATTAATAAGTAAACCCTAATAAATCCATATACGTGTTTGGTGGTTTTAATAGAATTTACTAAATCCCACAAGCTTCAGCTTCTATACGACAGTAACAATAACAAGCCTTTATCCCACTAAGTGGTTGGTTACATGAATTCTTTTTCTCCGTTGCATCCTTTTGAGAGTCATAATTTCATTAAATTTCAATAAATTAAGATCATTTTTTATACAATATGCCCAAGTCTTTGTAGGCAGTCTACCTCTTCATTTCTTAACATAATTTGAATCTAAAACATCTCTCTCATCACTAGCTCATCAGATGGTCGACATTTAATGTGACCAAACCATCTAAGACAATTCTCCGTAATTTTATCCATCACATGTGCTACACTAACCCTTTCATGTATATACACATTTCTCAGTTTGTCTCTAAGTGTAAAGCCACTCATCTACCTAAGCATCTCATCTCGACATCACTTAATTTTATTCTTCTCTTTGAAAGTCCAACATCATAGAGCATTGCAGGTCTCACCACCACCAAAAACAAGCCTTTAACCCACTAAGTGGGGTTGGCTACAAGAATACTTTTTCTCCATTGCGTCCTATTGAGTGTCATATTTTCACTTAATTTTAATAAATTAAGATCATGTTTTATACAATATGCCTAAGTCTTTTTAGGTCTACCTCTGCCTTTCTTAACAGAAATAGAATCTAAAATATCTACTCTCCTAATCAGATCATCAGATGGTTGACATTTAGTGTAACCAAATCATCTAAGACGACTCTCTCTAATTTTTTTCCACCACATACACTAACCCTTTCACGAACATATTTATTTCACATTTTATCTCTAAGTGTAAAGCCACTCATCCACCTAAGCATTCTCATCTCGACAACACTTAATTTTATGCTTTTCTTTTAAAGGTTCTTTTAAAGGACAACATACAACATTCTGTGCATAGAGCACTGAAGGTCTCACCACCATCTTATAAAATTTCCTTTCAGTCTAAGCATTACCTTTCTTTCACACAATAGACCCAAAGCATTCCTTCACTTCAAGCAATAAAATTGAATTCTACTAATAATATCCTTTCAGTCTAAGCATTACCTTTCTCATAACCATACCTTTGAGTGTCAGAGCGGGTGAGTCGTTGGAGCAGGATTTGTCAGAGCTGGGGTTGGCGGAGCTGCGGTCACCAGGGCACTGGAGTCGTCAGGAGAGGGGAGGAGAGGGTTAGGGCATGGGAGAGAGGGAGAGTGCGAGAAGGATTGGGATTACAGTAGCTTCGGGGTCGTAGTGATTTCGGCGGTATAAAAGATTATTTATGAGGTCTTACAAACGACTTCAGCTCCGTAGATTATTAACATTAATACCGACGACATTGACCGTCAGTTACTAAAAAAGCCTGTGATTAACGCATCGACAAAAGAAAGGTTATTGTAGCCACTGCAGGGGGTGTGGTCGATCAATCGTACAATGGAGGGTGGTGGTCGGTAGGTTGGTCAGCCACTGAAAAGTGGTCCTACAACTATAGAGCATTTTACAAGTTATTTGTTGAACAAAGAACCACTTTATTTACCAACAGTAATAAGTGAGTTGGACTATGTTAAAATTTGATTCCCTTAGACTCCAAGCTTTTAAAAAATAATCGAGCTTATTTATTTATTAATTTGAACAAAATTGATCGAATAATAATGAAATCAAGTTCTAATTATTCATCAATTGCATTGGTTGATTTACAGCCCCACTTGAAACTATTTGACATGATTTAGAACCATACACGGGCCAGCTTAATGAGAAGGTGGCCGTCAAAATATTAATTATTAATAATTTGCCTCTTAAAGCTAATTTTGCTAAATTTTTAATTACTTAAATCCAGAATTAAATTCTATAAATTAAAAAAGGTGAATATCTCATGGAATGATGTGATTAGTTTTAACGTTGGATGCTGAAACAGAGCAAAATGATAGTTTCTGTGCAAGACTAGAGAAGCAAGTAATTCTTGAAAAAGAAAATTAATATGCAGAGTCTAACAAGACAATATCTAAGGGGCATTTACATATATCCCATCCCATTTTTATATACTTACATACCTAACGCAGGAACTTTAGTTTTTACATTTATACTGCCCAAATCTTGCATATCACATACAAAATATAAAGTTAAATACATCTCTTAATGCATAAAGAAGGTAACATATATATACATAAAACTTGGAAAAATTTTCTGTCTGGACTACTGACGTAGCTCTACGTGCGGACTCCAATAATATGACACCACGTGTGCTACATCTCAGATGTTATTTCGGGGTTATTTAAGTGAAACTGTGTCGGTTATTTCAGGGTTATTGAAATTACATTGAAATAACCTCCGTGGTTCCACTTCAATAATCCCGAAATAACATCACGGAGGTTAATTTCACAAAATATATATTTCGGGGTTATTTCATGATTATTTCAGGATTATTGCAGAGTTAGCGGTTTCACTTTAATATGTATTAGGTGTTTCGATATAATACACCTGACAGTATATTACTGGGAGTCCGCATATAGAGCTACGTCTGGAGTCAGGACATAAAATTTTTTTCGCTACTTGAAGTTCAGGTGATTGATATGTAAATTCATGAAAATTGAGTGGCTTGAGTGAATATCTTTCAATATAAGAAATTAACGGAAGATAACACTAATAAAAGATTCAACAAAGAATATAGGCGTTTGTATTATCAATCTATTTATCACACCACAAGAGATACGACAATGGCGTGTATATTTATGTGGAGACAAGAGATACGACAGTGGCGTGCATATTTATGCGGAGTAGCTCCACAAAAGGCACAATGTCTAAGGGTCTGTTTGAGCAGCTTCGCCAGCTTATTCGAAACTGCGTTTTGATTTTTATACTAAATGCAGACCGCGTGTCGACCCCGCGGCTGACCCGCGGGCCGTGTTTCAGAATAAACAGTTTATCCTGAAACACATAAGCTGCCCCAAACGGACCCTAAAAGAAACGTTTAAACAAATAAGTTAAAAAATAAATGTAAAAATAAAGAAATTTTCAAAAAGGGTATCACAAACGTTCACGAAGAAGACGATAGAGCATAATTGATAATCTTAATAATAAAATAAATTTACATCATAGGATATACTTTTTATCTTTTTACATATACAACAAAATTTTTTTGATATTTGCACTTATCATAACTTTGTTTCATGAACCTGTACAAGCAAATATGTATTTCACTTTGAAAGATATAATAATGTTAACAGTGAATTCCCGGCATCCATGGTATAAGACCCCTCAGGTCGGAAGTTCGAATCCCTTCTATCACAGTTGGCCTTAAGAAGGTGGTACCCGAATTTTTAGGCATATTAGGGGTGGTTGCAGACCTGTATGATAGTCTTTGGTCATTCTTTTTTTAATATATATATATATATATAAGTCAAATCACTTATATACATGTCGATTTCATAAAGAGAGATTTTTGTGAAATATTTTGACTTGAATTTTAATAAGTACTGTAACACCAATTCAACACTTCTAAGAGTATTGCAGCCAAGACAAGGATGCCCTTTTGTTACAGATGGTGTTTCATGTTTGTCGCATTTTCATTCAATGTTGGGGGACTTCTTGGACCATTACAAAAGCATCCTATTTATGATCAGCAGTAAAGTTTATCTTATTTAGCTTTCAAGGCTTGAGCTATCAAACTTTATTTAAGTCTTATGAGTTGAGGAAAATGGAAACTTGGGCATGGAATAAGAATAGACTTTGTAATTATTATAAGGAGTTTCCTTAGTTAAAGGTTGATTGTGTTGTCATGTAATTAATATT